TCTGTATGCCAACTGCACCCTTTATTAAATAGAAAGTGAAATTTTAGTAAATAGAAAGTGGAGTAGTGATGAGCATGGCGTTCCTAAAAAGTTGATTAGAAAGTGGAGTAATGATGAGCATGACAGTCAATGTCCGGTTCATATTGACATATTGGTAACGTGTTTTATTTACGACATCATCCGATCTGGATCGGACGAATCCGGATTGAAACAGCGTTAAAACCTTGTTGCATATAATGAGAATATTTATCTTTGGTACAAGGAGATCACAAGTGGCATTTTTAAAACGTTTAAAACCTTGTTGCATACAATGAGAGTATTTATCTTTGGTACAAGAAGATCACAATTACTTATAATTATCTTTGTTGCATACAATGAGATTTTTTTATCTTTTGTACTAGGAGATCACAATTATTTATAACTATCTGATGTGAAATCCGATAGCTTGAGTGGGTCACAAAGTTCGAAAAAAAAATTGAACTTTGAGTTTGGTGAACAAAATAAATGCAACCACCCAATTTTATATTCAATAGTCAAGATTAATTGTGACAATGATGTACCGAAGGTAAATGGTCTCATTTGTATATTTTCCCTTCTTACATTGTTCTCTTTCCACGCATTCCATTTATATAGCTCCCATATAAAAAAATAAGGGCTTTTCATTAGGTATAGTTAGTGATGGATGGGTTTTATGTTCATTTGTACCACTCAATGAGGCATGCCATGTGATCTGATAACTCTTTTATTTTGAGTGAGTCGGGAGAGGGCTCCTACTCTTAGTAGGAATTAAGCTTAGGAAATCGTAAAGCGCTAAACAATTAAGCTCGGGCTCTTTTCCTAAATTAGTATCCCATCAAGGGTAAAATTTTGTTGAGAGTGGGATCTGATGACTTTTTATACAAAATGAGTTGTATCATGACCTGATCCTACTTGTGATTTTTTGGATTAAAGACCTACGTAAGGAGCTTAAAGAGGCCCCCATCTGTTCTATTCTTGGTTGGAACGTTCCTCCAAACTCCACTATAAATGGCCATGTCTTCTGCAAATATGAACCCACTAATACAGACTTCATTTCTAAGGAGAGCTTAGAAATTCTTAGATTCAAATGGCTCTAGACCACATAATCAGCTCCTTTCAAGACAAGACTATCTTAATTACTGGTTCTACTGGATACCTAGCCAAGAGTTATACTCTCTCTCTTTTTTTTCTTTTTTTTTTTTGGAGAAATACTCTCTCTCTCTCTCCATGAGGGCTTAGTGAGTTCTTATCTTATGCTGTGCAGTTTTTGTAGAGAAAATTCTCCGGGTCCAACCCGAAGTGAAGAAACTGTTTCTTCTCATAAGAGCCTCTGATCTCAACTCCGCCAAAAACCGACTACATGACGAAGTGAAGCATCATTCCACTTCTTCCTAGTAAAATGTTATTGTTCCCGAATGTCGTTCTCTACTCCTTGCTTTGCCTCTAATTTATTGTTTTTTATCTGTAAAACAGATTTTACAAAAGGAGCTATTCAAGGTCTTGAGGGAGAAACATGGAACTGGGTTCGATTCATTTGTTGGAGAGAAGATATTTCCAGTAGTGGGTGATCTCCGCCATCAAAGCTTGGGAATCAAGGACTTGGATATCAGAAACAAATTATGGAGGGAAGTTGATATGATCATAAATGCTGCAGCGGCTACTTCATTTGATGAAAGGTATTTGTCAATAACAACTTTATTTTATTGTTTGAGAAATTTATGTATTACTGCATGAATCCGTATTATGGGCAATATTACCTTGAGGTACTACTTATTTGAGTTTTTAAACTTTTGAATAGGCTGAAACGAGTGTTCGTAAAATCGAACCGGAATGGTTAATCACACATGGGCTAGAAGTGGTTTGATTGGCCTAACCAGTAAACCAGCCGATTCAACTGTTATAACCAGGCAAGTCCCGGACGGCCAAAAAATTGTTGAAGAAAATAAAAAAAATCTACTAAAATATGAAAAGCAT